GTTATTCTTGCAGATATAAGGTGAAAGTGAAGAAACATATCCAACATTGGTAGGGGTACCACTTGTTGTAATTATTAGTGAACTGACATAACAATTATGAATATAAAACGAAAATGCGAACGTGGAAGCGGTAATGACAGGAGCACTTTCCATTCAATGATCAACCGATACCAGAGTAGGCAGAAATAATATGTTTTGTGTGGAAGGGATTATAAAGGTATCAAAAGATCGATCGAATTTTGGTAATTCGATATTCACCAATATGGGGAAAACTTATTATTGCTCTCGACAGTAGATGGTATGTCGTACCTACTCTATGATCATTTGAATAAACGTACCAAATGGCAACGGTTACTTAATAATATGCAGAAACAATCAGAGCTTTACTTGCGGTATATTTTCCTCTATGGGGAGCTAATACTCCGGTACCTATGCAGAGATTTTTCCAAAAAAGTTGTGGCATTTCCCAATATTACTTCACCTAGTAAACAAACTAATTTTACAATGACAAAAAACTACAAACATCTATAAACCCTCTCATATTCGAACATTTTCATTATCGCAATACTTCCCTCGTCTGCCAATAATGTTTCGGCATACAAGTGATTTATGAAAGCGGCCAATGAATTGGGTTGCAATCTGGAAAGCCAGCAGTAGATGACAAATACTTCACTCGCTATAATTACGATAATAGACGTCAAAACGTGATGAGTAATTATTTGATTTTTCGCGAGTAAATGCTGTTACTTTTTTTGTCCAACTGAGTCAGTATTACCATTGTATATCTATATCTATTCTTCAAAGGATAATATATACCTTCTCAATTTTGTATCTGTAAAAAATCCCAGCTTAGGAAAAAGTGCATGAAAAGTGCCTATGAGGAATATGTTTGTACATATATACAATTCTTGAATCTTATTTTCAGATGAAATGTCACACTGCTAATATAAAAATATGTTTTTGTGTTGCCACACTTCAAGAAATTCTATCTGTCTTATGTTTATAGGATGCCAACGAGTATTATTTTTTGTATCGAATTAATATGTGTAATTTATTTCAACCTAAAAGCACGTAAATGTGTAATAATTGATATGTTATTTATTAATGGTTTTATAATAAGTAGTTCATCGCACTTAATTTGTCCAACAGATATGTGAAATCGCCTCTCCATTGTAAAACAAAACTTTCATAGACATTTCGACTGTAAAAAATTCCAGCTTAGAAAAAACTACATGAACAGTGTCTATAAGGAATATGTTTGTACATATATACAATTCTTGAATTAAATAAACTCTTACTTTCGGATGAAATGTCACACTAATATAAAAATATGATTTTGGGTTGCCACACTTCAAGCAATTTTATGTCTTATGTTTCTAGGATGCCAAAGAGTATTATTTTTTGTATCGAATTAATATGAATGCGATTTATTTCAATCTAAAAGCATGTAAAGGTGTAATAATTGATATTTATCTCTACTATTAAATGTTTTTATAATAGGTAGTTCATCGCACTTTATATGGCCAACATATTTGTGAAATCGCTTCCCCATTGTAAAACAAAACTTTCATAGACATATCGACTGAATCCGGAAGATCCAGAAATCCATTTCTAATTCATTGTTTCAGGATAATACAAGTACTATATATATACACTATATATATACAGGGTGACTTCGAAGTTGAGTCATTTATTTTAACAGTGAGTAGATCTGATCAAAAGAAATGTTTTTTTCCTTTACCATTTTTCTGGTAAAATTAAAGTAACAAAGTTATAGCCCTTTGGAAGTTTCAGTACCGCCCTGTCTCAATAATAATATTGTGCTCGTGTTTGGCGACAACGGATATAATCCGCCGTATCGGTTCATCGCATCGGAAACAAAAAAGCGAAAGAATTTGGAACGATATTTTTACAATTATTTCATTCATTTGTATACAGTCAGTGACAGTGAATAGTGGTATCTGTTGCGTGGCTCAAACGAAATAAAAAATGGCACATGTTTATGCGGATCGGTTTCCCAATCGAGTGCAACCAACCCCTCGTGCCTTTGTTAATGTAGTACAACGGGCTCGTGAATCAGGTGACTTAAGACCTCACAGGGGACCTCACGATCAAATACAGGTCCGCACTGAAATACTTGTCGGGAGGATACTTTATAAAACAAGGTAAAATTTTTTTTTTAATTTTTTTTTTATTTTTACACACATATTTTGGTTTATCTTCCTTCTACAATCATTATCTGAAAATTAATGACTCAACTTCAAAGTCACCCTGTATATGAATGTGAGACCGATGATATACAGCTAAATGGACTACACACGGATTCGCCTTTATATTTACCACATCACCTTCATTACCCGACCTAGTCGCCTACGTAAACCCATTTATGTATGTTGAATTTATGAATAATCGATACTTGCATACACGTGCCAGCTAAAATCCTTTGTTATCAGCTGCTTGTTTTGTATTGGATGTTCCTGGAAAATCTTCTCTAATCAGGGACAAAAAGAAGCAAACATGTTGCTGAAGTAGAATTAATAAAAGATTTTTGTCCAAGTGACTAGTAACTTGCTACTATTGGATTCGAGTTTTGATGACATAAATAACATAGTCGATAACAGTTATAAAAAAACGCCATTTCTGTTGAGAAGCTGGTATATTTATTCTCCTTGCATTTTGATTCCTTTTGTAGACATTTATTAATTAAAAATGACGTCAAGTAGATTATCTGTGCACTTCCTACGCAACGCCGTTAAGGATTAAGTTCAACCCAAGTTAAACTCTCTGAGAAACAAATCATGTACTTCATAGAAATTAAACGGATTAAGTCAGTCAAACAGGCCCACACAATTAGTCCCTAGACATTATTTCCTTGCCCTACTAGTTACTGTCCATTTGGCAACGTTGTCCCTTTCCAGATCTCCGTGATATCGCTGCAGCGAGTTGTTGATTTCGTGCTTAGCGCCAGGCGGGAGTACACGGATCGAAAACATCCCATCATCATTTTAAAGGCAAATGTACGGGGACATCTATGACGTATGAAACATGGTGCATATAATTACTGGGGTTGGGAGTGTATAGTAGATAAGATACTTTTCGTATACCCTCCTCCACTCGCTACAACCTCCAGTCCCCGAATTTCAACTCCCACAACCACCCTGTGAAAGGATAAAAAAAGATTGGATGATTTTTAATTTTTTCGGTTTTCGTCCCCTACTCCGCCGCCTCTGAAGCCATTTTCAAAAACTAAAACACTTTTTCGTAGCCTTGTGTGAAAATTTCATCAAAATCCGAGCTAGGGTCAAGGACTAGCGGACGGACAGTCCGACGGAAATGAGTGATATACGTCCTATCACATCCAAAAACCGTATCTGGTTTTCAAAATTTTTCGCGATTACAATAGTTCCTCGCCCAGTGTCGTAGGAAGTAAAAATTGAAGGTAATTTTCGTTTAAATAAGATAACGAATATGCCTTCATTTTTAATTTCTTAAAAATATAAACAGAAAAAAGAATGCAGTTGCTCTGGTTTTTCTGTTAGATTAATCTTAAATTTTTAAAACCAAAACCTTGTGCAAGTATTTCCGTGTAACGACCAATATTTTTTACCAATCTGTAGAATATTGAATTCCGATATATGCATCATGTGCATCAGTGGAGATCTCTTCGCTGACATAAATTGCAAAAAAGTTGTGTTCTCGTCTGAACATTTTCCACTCATTAGGTCGAATTAAAAAACCCAGCCGTTATACAGTTAGTTGAGTCTTTGTTATGCGCGTACAGTATACAAAGACTGGAACGGAAGCATACGCTATACAGCACGATTTCGTTTTTAAAGTTGCGTATTAAGGTAACTAGTTTCAAAATTCAAAGTATTTACGTAGAGAGACGTTTTGATTTTCTCATGAGTTTATTTGTCGAGGGATTTCAAAATAAATTGCATTGCAATTTTTTCTTATGGACGCTGTATTGAGTAGAGTTTTTAATTTTGATTCCACAAATGAATAACATGTCATACATTGACATTGCCGAGCCTTAGTTATTTCAAGAAGTAAACTTTCTTAGTAAGCCTTGTTTCGTATACCAGATTTATGGGAAAATCATTTTTATTTTTGCACATGCCACTAATATGATTCGGCTCCGCACTGAACATGCTCCAAATAAAAAACGCCTGTACAATATGGGTATATCGTAGAAGACCACATTGTGAATGTGGTCAAATAGATTTGGACAACATATTCTTTGGATCTCTCATTAATCAAACCAACAATTTCAAAGTATAAGAAGAACTGCATAAAAGAGGCTCACCACACTTCCCATCAACGTACAGACTGCATCATCCAACCTAAACCAACAGAACGGAACTTCTCAATAACTTCATATATCACTACATAAAATCATGGTATGAACTTCCCAACCCTCTTTTAATACTTGGTTTCTACTACCTTATGCGAAAACATTTGGGTTTTGTGGAATCCACCTTCGTTGCCCGGGTGCCAGAATAGTTTGTATCTGTGTTGTTCTACGTATATGTCTAACTGCCCCCACCCCCCACACCTATGTACATAGCATAGTTGTAGTGTTTAGTCTATTTTAAATGAATTCACGCTAAATAACTGGAAAAGAGTTAAATAAATTACAAATACAGGTGGATTACAGCATGGTTTAGAACCAGCAGCTGCAACCCCTCTAGATGAGCTGGCAAATCACATAAAAGTTGCAAACGCCAAAACCTATCGAAGAAGAAGAAACGAAGGCGTAGGAAGTAAAAACGAATTTTAGAGGTTTTTTTTAGCGATCGAACGACAGACATACCAACGGAAATGAGTGACATGGAGTTTCGTGATGTACATGCCATATAAAATCAAAAAAATACGTAATATCTTATTTTCGAAACATTTCGCGACCACAATACTTCCCGAGTAGACGTAGGAAGCAAAAACGGCCACCGAGGGGATACGCGGGAACGACAAATTTTAAAAAGTTCTAATCTTCCTTCCAGATGCACTGCACAAGCTTCATTACTGACCCATCATCCTCATCTCCATCAGTGGATGAAGACAGGGAGAAGGAAGGTGATATGCTGGTGTCAGTGGCCACTTTGATCACTGAAGGACGTATACCGGGTGGTACGGGGCCCAGGAAGTTCTACGAGGGGCCTCACTGCACTCTGATCAAAGAGGTTGCCGACAGGGGACATAAGTGCGATGTTGCCGACAATCTTGTAAGTATGCAGACGATTTGGCAATTGTTTGGTTTTACATAGACCCCTCATAGGCTAAGACAAATGGAAATAAAAAGATGGCGTCAAGTAGATTGACTCTATACTTTCTGCGCCTTCTAAAAAGGATGAGTCGTTTCAAAAGGCAGAATCGAATTGTGACTAGTTAGGTACCAAGTACGATTAATCATACCAAACTGTATAAAATAAATCTCTCATATTTTTGTTTCCATGGCAGATGTTAGACAAACACGTATGACTCATTATGTCTAACAGATGCATAATATTACCGTGATCAGCAGCTTTTTAATAATAGGTCATTAACTGACACCAAGCATGCAACATTTACAATCATTTACCGCATACAGCTCGCAACATTCAATATTCAACCTCTCCGAAGACTGAACATGTTGCAGCGATTTTTAGTTTTTTGTCCGTAGTTCCACCGCCACTGTTTCAAAATCTACGACTACCTAACCGATAGAAGTATTGAACTCGCGATTATATTCGAACTCTATTTCATAAGTCTTCTGTTACAAAGATATATGCATCACACAAGTCCGTGTTTCTCATTTATGTCGGTTTGTCAGTCCGTGTCTATTGTATATCAATGAATAATAAGTACTGAGTCAGTTTACTTGACGAAATATTCAGAGAATCAATCATATATTGAGTAACACAAATTAAAGGTTAGGCGAAATGGATGAATACATTTAAGGATAATAAAATTCAGAAAAAGGTATGTGTATACTTAAAAACAATGAAGTTGTTATTTATAAGTTATTTCGAATTAGGAGCACATTATATTTGGGACTTTTATCATTTACATACATCATTTCCCATTGTTACCGGAATCAGCTTCTAAGCTTTTCCGTCCTTAGCATATTAGTAACGATGTGTGACAATTTCATAAAAATCCGACCGCTACATTGTTTTTCAGACCCTAGTACACTTAACGCGGTGTACGAGCCCCTTCCCACTTCAGTTATCCCAACTATTGAAATAATAAAAATGTGGCAGGGTGTTATAGGTTTGAAATATTAACAATGAATATTTTGATAATATATAGTAGAAAACACCAACTTTATCACTACCTAATCAGCAGCATAAAAATAACACATGTTGCAATTACAGCATATCAACCTATTTTCATTTCAATGCAAAATAAGTCTATAACGCATAGGTGGCTGTGAAAAATAAAAGCCATGACAATTGTTTTATTAATAACAGCTGTCAGAATACGTTTAAAATAGTTTTCGGTAGTTAACGTTTTCAAAATGGGTAGAGGAAAGGTTATTAATTAGTGAGAAAATTTGGTTACTGATAATTAAATTTTTTAATTCTGGGAAATCAAAGTCAGAAATTGCAACTTTGTTAGACTTATCGCGATACAGTGTGAGAAATATTGTTAGAAGATATAACGTAACTGGTTCAGTTAATATTAAGCCACGATATGTGAAAAAAAGTAATATCACAAATTCCGATCGAAGAGCATTAACAAGAATAATCGTGAAAAACAGGCGTGCCAATTATTTACAATTAAGTGCTCTGTGGAGTGACGCTGCTGGAAGGAGAATTTCGAGGTCCACAACTCATATGAGAGGCCCACAAACTGGGATTTAGCACTTGCAAGGTAAGTTTTCTTATAAAAAAAGTGAAGTAAAAACCCTAAAGTTGCACAACTTGTTTATAGGCCAAAGAAAAGCCACTATTAAATCCACTGGAAATGTGGATACAAACAAATATTTGGCAATTTTAGAAGAATCGCTTTTACCAGTGATGGAAGAATGTTTGACATCCGGCCAGATCTGTCACCTATTGAAACTGTGTGGCACGAGATGAAAAAGGTTCTACGACAACGTCCTGCACGTACAATCACCGAACTGAGACAAAAGCTTCAAGATATATGGGATTGTTTTACAGCAAATTTTTGCCAAAACTTGGTTAACACTATGCCCCAAGAATTTCAGCCGTAACAAAAAATAAAGGTGATGTTGCCCAATGGTAATCTTTCAATTGTTGCTTGGTTAACTTCGCGCATTTATTCACACATTGTTTATTTGTTCAGATGTTCTATTAGTTATAGGTCTAAGTGATTTCAAATATGTATTTTTTACGACTAGAGTGTATCTAAAATGTTTTTGAGAAAATAAATTGTTTTAGAAGTAAATAGTTTCGTCATGTTTAGTTTATAAAGGCATATTTTGGTACAAATCTTGAAGTGGGCCAACTGAAGTGGGAAGGGGCTCGTATAACATCCAAAAAACATATTCCATTTTCGAAAATTTTCGCGATTTACAATACTTCCTCACCCAATGGCGTAGGAATTAAAAATAGAGGTGCCATCGGAATCTGACTTTTGGTTAATAATTTTATCTATGACCTGGCTGTAAAAGTGTACAGTATGAATTGGTTTTTCAGGGTAATAAGTCTCATTTTCCAGTCTAGGGATTCCATTATGTCTTAAGACCTTCGTGTCTTAGGAAGTTAAAGTAACTTTAGCACCGGCTATGCTTGTATTTCGTTACTGGAATGAACAATGTATTTATATTTTCTCACAGTTAAAACCCACTCTAAATTTTTGATTTCACAGATAAAATTTTGTATGTATCTTGGGTGTAATAAGCACCTGTGTCCCTTGGCGTGTTGGAGGATGCGTTGCTTAGTTTCTGGGAACCTAGTTTCACGCCGACCACGAGACATAACCATAATGATATGCGAATATTTAAGGGTGTGAATCTACATGAAAAATTAATGTTAGTTTGCTTTATACACTATGGTCCAAAAATCTTTCCTTATAAAAGGGATGTTGAAGTTTTAAGAAAAAAATGGAAATTAATAGTTTCAGAACCGCTTCAGATATTTCACTGATATTTAGTACGTAGTGAATGTTAATGAAGTTGTATATTTTCCAATGCAAAAATAATTTTTAGCTTTAACAGTGACGTGCGTACGGGTATTGACTTCGATATTTTTTAAGAAAAAAGTGTACGCCAATGGTTTTTTGCCAAATAAAAATTATTTTTGATTTCCCGTTGAATTTAAAACAAATGATCTCTCTTGAATTGTTTTCCTTCGATGCGCCATTTTTGAGTAAAAAAACAAAAACCGTTCTATTGTCTAACTTGCAAAGTTATTATTAATTTAATTGGAAAAATTAAACACATTAGGGGTAATGAACAACAAGAACTGGAACAACATGGAATCTCGCACTCATTGAAATATCCCTGGAGTGTTTTTTATTATATCACAAGCTGCAACTATATTCTTTCTCTTAATTCCTCTACAGTTTTAATGGGGCTTGTGTACACTAGTGTCTTAAGATAGCCTCACAAAAAGAAATCTAAACTGTTGAGGTCTGGGGACTTTGGTGGCCATTCTTGGGGCCCACCGCGGCCAATCCAACGATTTGGATAAACAGTTTGTAAATAATTACGAACCGCTACACTGAAATGCGCTGGTGCACAATCATGCATGTACCACATATTGTTTTTATTACTAACGGAACATCACTAAGCAGCAAAGGCAACTGTTGTTGAAGAAAATTGAGGTGTCTGTCCGTCAAGTTGTCCCGGCAAGAAGAATGGGCCAATAAAGTGGTTGCCAATAATTCCTGCCCGTACGTTAACCGAAAATTGGTGTTGGAAATGGGTTTCGGTTACGGCATAGGGATTTTCTTCTGCCCACAAATGATTATTGTGGAAATTCTGAATGGCATTTCGTGAAAAATTAGCTTCGTCCGTGAACAGAATCATTGATTCAAATTGCGGATTTTGTGTAATTTTTTGAAGATACCATTGAAAAAAGGTCACACGCCTTGGAAAATCAATGGGAAGTAATGCCTGTACTCTTAAAATATGGTAAGAATATAACAAAAAATCCACTAAAATTCTCCAAACAATTTGATGGCAAATATTTAAGTGTCTAGCGATCTTTCTCGTACTCGTTTCAGGATGTTCTTCGACTTCGTGCAGCACTGCTTCCTCAACTTCAGGTGTTCTCACACTTAGAGGTTTACCTTCAGATGTTACTTTTCGGACAGAACCAGTTTCAACAAGACAACGATGAATATTAGAAAAGGTTCGACTATCTGGCAAAGCACGATCGGGATATCTCTGATGATAAATCCGTCTGGCTTGCTCACCATTACCGTCGGCAAGGCCATATACGTAATGCATTTCCGCCATTTCTGCATTTGAATAATTCACCATTATTAACAAGATTGTAAAAACTAAATAATGAAAAAGATGTCACAGCGAACAGATTTGAATAACAGAGACTTGTCAGATGTCAAAAGCCAGTGACATATTCCAGAGCAACTAGATATTTATTGCTAAATTGCATTCTTCAATTACATTAATTTTGTCGGACAATAGAACGGTTTTTATTTGTTTACTTAAAAATGGCGCATTGACGGAAAACAATTCAAGAGAGATCATTTGTTTCAAATTGAACGGGGAATTCAAAAATAACTTTTATTTGGCAAAAAACCATTGGCGTACCGTTTTTTCTTATAAAATATCCAAGTCAATACCCGTACGCACGCCACTGTTAAAGCTAAACATTATTTTTGCATTGAAAAATATACAACTTTATTAATTTTCACTACGTAGTACATATCAGTGAAATATATGAAGCGGTTCTGAAAATATTAATTAATTTCCATTTTTTCCCTAAAACTTCAACACCCCGAGTTTTTGCAAGGAAACTTTTTTGGACCATAGTTTATAAAGCAAACTAACATTAATTTTTCATATAGATTCACACCCTTAAATACTCGCATATCATTAAGGAACGCCCTGTATATTTATGTCAAATGGTTTTGCTATATCTCTCGCCTATAATTTTCAGATGCTCACTTTTAATATAATATACTGAAGGAATTAGCTATATATAATAAGCTTATACTTCGAAGTGTTTTGATATTATGCAGTTTTTGATTTATATGTGTGACAATCATTTTAATAGAATTTAGGCCGATACAAAAAGCTCTGCAAACTGAA